TTGTCGGTTCTTCGGATTTAGGCGAACTGAGAAAATGTGAACATTATCCTATATTTTTAAGTATTTTTATGATTAAATATGTATACTTTATTTATGGGTTGAAATAAGGTTTCTAAGGTACTAGGCATCTGCAGTGAATCTTAAGAACATTCTTCAATCTCTAAGACTTTCAACCATAGTAGTCTGTCAAACTCCTTGCTCAAGGTTGGTTGTGAACCATCCTGGCCATAAATAACATAGGCTTTCATTCCATATTTATTTATGGTATGGCTTATGTATGATATTAACCTTTAATTGAAGCATTAGACCTAAAGGGTTGAGTTGGTAGTTTTAGTTGAAGCGATGTTTGGAATTTTTATTAAGTCTTGTCATTGTAGATCAGAGTATATATAAACTCTTATATATTATGGTTGTGGGGTTTGTAGTATTATTAATTTTTGTTTTGTACATCCCGACTAGCGAGCACAGACGTGGGCCAGCCATGAAGTACCGTAAGTAGTCAACATGCAATGTTAATATTTATAATACTTTTATTAGAAGCTAGTTTGTTATAGTTGTATTACTCTTTCGAGGATACGAGTTCTATATAGCCAATTTAGCTCTGATACCAATCTATCACACCCAGGCCAAGGCATAATACACCTGGTTGTGCGACTACGTTCATGGATCACAGAAAAACTAAATATATAGCACAAGTACAATGATAAAACAAAACAAAATTGATATTCCATTATAAAATTTGAATACCTGGTTCTTACAAAATAATATAGTAACTACCTTAACATGTAGGCGGACATAATAAAAGTAGTAAACTAAATTGCCTGAGATTCTTGAGTACCCGACGTCCGAATCTGCTTGATTTCAGACTTCCTAAGAATATGTGTATTTTGAAAGTCAACATGAGGTTGGTGAGAGTCATAGGTTTTCTGCTAGCCATAGTAATAATACTTTTATAAAGTCCAAAAGTATTTTCTTTATATGAATAACAAAAGTTGACACAATGTTTGCCATGAGTTTTTAAATACGAAAATGTATATTTGTATAAGTAAATATGTTCTTTTAAAATGTGCTTGAAATAATTTCTTGAAAGTTAAAATGTACCCATTTCATAATTAAATCCATACTTTAAACCATGTTTGTAATACACTCTTGAATATCCATGAAAGTCAACATGAATCCCTTGTATCGGTAAATTCATACTTTTAAAATGTACTTGTAATAATTCCTTGTAAGTTAAAATGTACCCATTGTATAAGTAACTTCTATACTAAAAAATAGTTTTGAAAGCAACCAAACCTATGGTTGTAGTGAAAATGAGGGAGATTATTCATGTTAATGTCTTTAGTGATTTCTATGATTAAGATATTGACGAAAAGTACCCCTCCCTACAACGCTTCATTGGACATTGTAGTAATGATCGTAGACACATATCGCATACTACGATTGATCAGTCGTAGGTTGTAGCTAGCAACCGTCGGTGGGGTTGTCAACCCCAAATAGATCTATACATATGTACCTTGCTTCGAAGATTAACGATTATAGTAGTGTAGGGTAGGTTTAGTGGTTAGACTCAGCTAATGAATAATGTATCGTCTCACTCAAAGTTGTTAATGAAAATTTTGTGAAAGTCTCTCAACCCTAACTTAATTATAGTTAAGTACCGTACATAATGAATTTCGTAGTATAACATTTGTAAAATTCGAGTATGGTTGACTTATTTATAGAGGTATAAATTACTCGCTTTTATAGAGAAATGTAGTTCAACATAAGGATCTTGTATAAGTGTGTAAAGCCTTATAAATGTATTCATGTAATGAATTTCATAGTATAACGTTAATAAAAGTCGAGTATGGTTAACATATTTATAAAACTATAAATTACTCGCTTTTATAAAGTAATGTATTTCAACGTAACAAATTTATATATATGTGTGTAAAGCGTTATGCATAAAAGTATTTAAGGGTAGTAGTCTTTGAAACTTTGAAATACTTTAACTTGTAGCATGCATATCATATAAGACCTGTGTATTTGTATCATATATACTATATAGCACATGTACTCTCCCACAAAATGAATAAATATAAAAGAGGGGCCATAACTCTCACCTTAATATGTGTTTAACGAGTTGTTTTTGAGTGTTAGATGCGAGAACCGAGAGGTGTTGTTGTGAATTTGATCTTATGATATCAGCTTAGTCTTGATGATTGAAGAGACTATAAAAGCCCTTAGGGATGATGGAAGACACCAAAAGTGGTAAAGATTCTAAGATGCAAAATTTCCAAGGTGAAAAAGTTCTGAGACTCGTCGAAATTCCAAGTCTATGGAAACCTGAGGTGCAAAATGACCCAAAGTTGCTAAAATCTGAAACCGGTGGTGAATTTTGAAGTGGAGCTCCAAATCAGAAGGCTCTAAAATAGGTATAAGATCCGAAGTCGAACTCCGAGATGGGAAGAATCTGAAACTTTCCACAATTCCAAAGTAGAAGTGTCCGAGGTCAAAAATTCAAAAGCTGAAGAGAGTTCCGAAGTCAACAGGATTCTGAAGTCAGAATTCCGAAGCTGAAGATTGATCCAAAACAGGCAGACTTCCGAAGTGGTTCTGAATTCCAAAAATTCCAAACTGGTTATGAATTCCAAAGCTGAAGTAGAAAATTCCGAAATTGGTACAAATTCCGAAGTTGGCTGGCTGTTCTTGGTTTTCTACTCCCGTTTTGAGTTGATTTCCACAAAAGGAAGGTATGGGATGATATGGGTGTTTAAGGAAGAGGTTGTAAGTGTGATGAAGAGTGATTTAGGATAGTGGAATCATTTTTTGGGTTGGTTACTGAGAGAGATATGGGAGAGATTAGAAGACTCAAATAGAAATTTATAGTAGGATGAAAAACCCCTTGGACAAATAGACCATGATCTCTAAGTCAAATCAAGGACTATTAATGTATTTTGAGGTGGAGTGTAAGCAAAAGAAAAAGTGGGATGGTGGAAAATTACATGGGAAGATCTCAGGGAAGAACTGAAGATTTGTCTTTCCCAATCTAGTAGGTCACATCCAAGGGTTGTACCCTCATTAATGGCTTATTGGTACCCATAGTCGAGTGCATCGGGATCCCGTTGTCGAGATTTTTTTTTTTTGAAAATACCTATGGATTGGATTTAATTCAAGGATTTAATAAACTCAAACGGATTAATTTTTGGGGTTACAGAACTCCAGGAAATTGCGTCTGAAGTTTTGCGTTTAAACGGCTCACGGTGTCCGTTTTCGCAACATTTGTAAATATTTACTAAAAATATTTCAAGTATGAAATTAAATAATAGACTATAGTCTGATTCAAAAAACGATCTCATAAATCTTGCCTCAACGGTGTGAAATAGTTTACTTAAATAGGTAAAACCAGTGTCCTACCGGTTTGGTTTCTTAAAACTATCGTATCTTTTGCATACGAACTCCATTTTATATGTTCTTCGTATTTTCGAAAACAGTAAAATATGTTTTATCATATTTTAGTGTTTTCATTACTTAAATCCTCTTAATGAAAGTTTTTAGTTTTCAAACACATTAATTTAATTACGTTGTAGTTTGAGCGGTTTGATTTGTTTGTCGATTCACACATTTGGGAGCAAAGTATCGGCTGGTACCATATCAAATGGTATTAAAATTGTTTATAATTCCTTAGACAAAGTAAAACCAAATGAGTTAGATCACAAATCGCTTTTCCCGTAATTTAGTTGATAGTTTATGTCCTAAACTCTAGGATGTCACATGAAGCACTAAATTTCGGATTAGATCCAATTTAGCCTTTATACTCGACTCGATATTCGAATCCATCTAAGAAATAGTTTCTTGAGAAATTGATGATAGAGTTGAAAGATCAATTTTCGATAACATCTCCTTCACGCCAGACAAATATTCTTCAATCTTGAGAAAAACTTTCTCATCTGTCTCCGTCTTGACTCAAAGATCATCCGAGTAATCTTTGGTAAAGGATGTGATATCTTCGATCAATCATGTAGTTACATCAGCTACAACATCCATCTTCTTGTGCAATAAAGAAAATTTTTTATCAAATTTCTTCAGATCTGTATCCATCATTGTTCGAATTTCCTTCAGTTGAGTCTCCAGAAAAACTCTCATTTCTGCAAGTTATTTCTCAAAAAGTTCATGGCGCTCTTTTGAATCATCACACAACTTTGAAATCTTGTAGTTGAAATTACAAATTTTGAGTGACAACTCGATCATCATTCTGCTTATCAACATTTTTAATTAGAATCTTTAATCAAGACTCTTGAGTTTTCAACAAATATTCAACTTTAACCCCAATTATTGAATGCTTACTTCCAGTATCAGCCATAAATTGAAGTATCGAGTTCATTTTGGAGTTAAGAATCTTAAATTGCTTTCCTAGTATGATTAAATCATCAGGTATATTTTCATCATCCTAATTAATTCTAGCTCATTAAAAGGAACCATCACATTTTCATCATCAGTTTCGCCTTCTTGAATAGGTTTCTCAGCCTCGGATGATTAAGATGAGAAAAGACTTGTGATTAGTTCTTGTATTATAACCCCAGAAAAGGTTGGTGAAACTGTTATAACAGGATTCGAAGAGATAATTGGTGATGTTCGTGGTTGTAGAATAGTTTATGTTTCGATGATTGTTGTTGCTGTTTTCCGATTGCCTGCATCCCCTCATCCATGTTAACAGCTTTGTCCTTATTAGATAAATGCATAGTGATTTTTGGAGTTTCAACCTCCTCCATAATGGACTTGGTATGCGAAATGTCAGATGGTTTAAAAATCCTCTTCTTAGGGATGGTTGTGGTTTATTGTTCACCTGAATCGATTTTTTCACCCATATCAAATATATTTGCAATGACATCAGGAATACTTATCTCCTCGAAATTTGATTCAATAGGGGTATCATTTCTATCTCTATCATTTGCAATCTCTACTGTTACTTTATCAAAATGAACTTCAACTTGATCAAGATTTCGCTTTTTTAACCTTTAGTCAACATCTAAAGCTTGATGCTTCTTTGAAGTTGGGGATCCTGGAGTTGAAAGCACACGGAGTACAACACCCTTTCTGGTAAACTGTAGCTTTTTAACTCTTTTGGCACCATGCTTTTTTGCAGCTGGTTCACCTGGTTGTGTAATCGGAATAGTACTAGCAATAGGATTCCCAATAGGAATTTCCTAAACTCTTTGCTCAACACTTTCTACAATTGGCTCTTGAGTAGGTTTCGTGGTTGCATAATCAGAAGGTCTCTTAGCAGATTTCTTAGTGCATTTAAGTACCCCATTTACTAGTCTTTGTGGGTATAGTTTCTTCAACCAACTCCTCTTCCACTTCTCTAGGCTTTTCTTCTTGTTTCTTTTTCATAGTAACTTTATACCCTTTCGATGGTCCTTCTACCCCTTTTACCTTTGGAGGTAGAACAACAGATTGAGTAGAATCTATAGAATGCAAATAGTTCACCAACAATGGATTTTTAGAATACAACAATTTAAGCATCGAATCAGGGATTCGAGAAACCACTGGAAATCTTGTAGCATCATCCATAACTACTTTTAGAATGGTAATCAATAGGAATTCAACTTTAGAAACATTTAATGAAACAAGAATATTTTCCTTATTGTATATCTCCTTCAGGATCAACCCCTAAAACCGAACACTCGACACTCCAGTCGCTAGTTTTGAATGAGAATTAGATGTTACAAACACCTCCCACAATAATGAAGCATAGTCAAAATTAAGACCATAATATAGACCAGCAACGATTAAATAAACCTCATGCTTGGCCTTATCAAGCCCATAACTCCTCCTTGACAAACACCTTAAAATAATCCCAAAAAGGAAACTCCGAACACAATTTCTGTGAACTGCTTCTTTGTAAGTTTCTTCGTTTTGGACAACGATATTTGAAACGTAACAACTTTGGCTATCTTGTTATATAGAACAGCTGAAGTAGCAAGAGATAACCATTACATTAGAATGGTAAATGATGCAGACAAAGAAAAGGAAAGAACGACGTTGTGTAAAGTTTGAACAACCATTTGCAGTTCAGCCGAATACACATCGAGATACGGAACGAGACAAAGATTTGTATGCAAAATGTTCATCGCTGGTTGTGAAATCTCATCATCATTGGTTGTAACTTGATCAACATTGTGATGTGAGGAAGCCATTGTAGAAAATCAGAGAGAATTTTGGAGATAAAATTTTCCAATGAATAGTTAGGGTTCTTGAGAATTTTTAAAGAGCATAAACTTAAAATTAGAAGGAACGGTTTCCCTATATAACTGACGTGCATTTTGAATTCAAACCATTGCCCAATAAAAAAATGCCACGTGGAAAAGTGATGATCATTTTCTTGTAAATTCCCTTGAAAATCTTGAATCATCACATCCAACTGATTTTTCGGTTTCCCCAACCGGATAAAAACCATCATAAATTTTGTTACCAAAAAAGAACATCATAAGTTTTGTTACCAATATAGAACCATCCTTCGTCATGAGGGCTAGGCTCGTTCACCTTTGAGAAGAATAAGCAAAATCATATGAGAGACTTTGTGAAATCTAAGATAGATTTGGTAATACTCATATCCTCAAGGATTTCAGTGATCAAACGTGCCAAAGAAAAAGATAGAAGCAAAGTAAAAAAAAAAATATGTGGTTTGTGATATCGAAGATACTTTGATATAAAATTAACATGCTCGCGGGCAAAGATCTCTTCTTTTGACATCAAGAGAGATGACAAATTGTTTGTGTGGTATCCTTTGAATTACAATAAAAAAAACCCTTTGGTGAGTATCGAAAGGCCCCTTTTTTCCTTTAGGTTTGACAGTGGCTTCGTTTTCACACAAGTTAACAACTTAACATAAGTGTGATGCTTTATGTAAAAAATACTTGGATGACCAGTGTTGTCAAGAACAAGTAAGGTTTGGAAAAAAATTAAGTAACAAAGATTACAAAAAAGATGTTCAAAAATGAATCTCATTTCAAAAAAAAAATTGAAAATCTAGATCTTTTGAGAAAAAATGATTTGGGATTAGTACATTTTTTTCAAGATCACGCAATACAAATGAAAATGAGATTTTGAACATCGAAAGTGGTACATAGAAACAAATGTTTTGTTAAAATCTTGAACAAGAATATTCACCGTCAATTTATTAGGTTTAGATTTGTTAGGTTTCACCTTCATCATGGAAAAATGATTCAGATCATAGAAACAGATTTTTGGCATACCTATATCCTGGTAGGTTTCAACTAGAGATGTCAAGGGTATGTGCCGTGTGTGAGCATGAAAGAATTTTTGGGTGAAAAAAAAATTGGTTAGAAGAACTCATTGTAATACTGCTAAAGATTTGGACATAGTAGAAATCTCTTTACTCATTATGAGAAGAGAAATGTAGCTCATCGACTAATGTGAATACAACTTGATTAAGGAAGAAACTTTTGTTTGAGAGTTTCATTAAGGCTTCAAACAAAAAGTGTCTATGAGGCTTAAGGATAACATGTTGTAGCATGCTTCTAAGTACGCTTAACTAGTACAAAGTTAAAATCATACCTGATCCTTTTGAATGTTTTCGTTTGACATGAGAAAGTGCAACACATTGTTTCAATGAGATTCCCCTCAAAACTTGGAATGGATGACCCGATTTCAATCTCTAAAAATAAGCAACAAGCGAAAGAGACCTCAAACATGACAAATGTAGAAGCAACCAACAAATCTTCTAATTTGGTTTTTAGAATGTGAGATAGTACAATCCAAAGCGTCAAAAGGTAATCGGTGAGTCCTTGAGTATCCAAAAGACACATCCCAAAAAAATTTCATTATGTACAAACCCTTCATAGAACTTGGAAAACCCAAACCACTTTAGAAAATCCAATTCAAATTTCTTCATAAACAATATTTCTTTACTGTCACATCACGGTCTTCTAATAAAAAATGATCATTCGTCAAAAATGAATATCCAAAAACTTGTGATTTCAAATACCCATTTCATAATTTCTTCCCCTTTTTACTCCAAATGGGAATGAAGCAAATCCGGCAAAATCAATATATATATATATATATATATATATATATATATATATATATATATATATATATATATATATATATATATATATATATATATATATATATATATATATCAATTTTTCGAAACATGACCTCCGGGACCCATTTTCTCCTCAAAAATGAACACAAATTTTCATTTTACTGTAAATGTCTTGCAAAAATAACACTCTTGAAATCCCCAAAAAAACCTCCAAATTTTGGAACAATTTTAGTTTGTGGGTAAAAACTGCCAATTTTCTGAAGTTATAGGGACGAATTACGAAAATTGTGACCTTCTTCCATAATTTCAGATGGAAGATGAATGCACGCTCATAGCACGCCCAACTTTCGACTCAAATCCTTATCACTTTCGGCTCATAATCCTTTGTCCACAATTTTCAACTATCAAAGCATGTTTTCATTTTTTCGACCAGTCATAGTCAAAATTTCAAGCTTTCGACCATTTGTTATCAAGTCTTCATTTTTGTATAATCCAAGTCGAAATTTCAAACTTTCGACAGATAAACTTCATTACGACTTCAAAGCTTGTTATTAAACATTCACAATTGAAAACCATATTTGCAATTTCCTACTTTGACTTTTCCAGTTTCGTCCTTGACTATCAATATCCAGACTTCCCTTTCGATTCTCAAATCTTCCAATCAATCGATAATTTTCCCTTCAGCCAATTGATATACCAAAATTGATATCAACCCCTCAATTTTCATTCTCAAAGCACTATCTATTATTGAACACCAAAACTTTTTTTACCACAATCGAAAATCAATGTTCACCCATCACCACCAAATCTCCTTCAAAACTCAAATAAAATTCGCATTCGACACTCCAATTTCAAACTTCTCAATCGCTCCTTCAACGATGAACGATAAATCCTTCTGAATTTTGATTTTTATAAAGCAAAAACAAAAATAAGAAAATCTTTTTTAAATTTTTATGGTTATAAAGTAAAAACAAAAAAATAAAGTAAATGAAAATATTACCAAATTCGTTTCATTCCCATCATGACTGTGCAAATATTGTTATTCTTCAAATATAGTTTGATGTTGAAAGTCTTCCATCATGTGCGAATTGTGACCCTATATTGAATGATTCAGAAGGAAGTCGAATGCGAAGGCAGTCGAACGCTTAACGTGAACAGTAACCGCTGAACAGATCATAAAACAAGGAATGAAAGTTACGAAAACACTCAGAAGTGTAAATAATTGATAGTAAGTTAAAACTTATGTGCATGGTAAATTCAAGAAAAATCATGTAGAATGTGGAATAGAACATGCTTCCATCATTCTCAATCCATTTAAAATCCTTAAGAATGATTTTTCATCTAGGTGGTTTGTGAAAGTATCAACAAGCTGATATGTTATTCTGACAAAATGGATTTCAATATTTCCATCTTCAACGTGATCTTTGATGCAGTGGTAACGAAGATAAATATTTTTTGTTTTTGAATATTGAATTGGGTTATGAGAAACGGGAATTGCGCTTTGAGAATCTCAATATAAAGGAATATTTTTTCATGTTGATCGCATAGTCACACAATTAGCTTTGAATCCATATTACTTGTGATGTGCATGCAGAAATAATGATATATTCAGCCTCAGTTATTGAAATAGAAACACATGTCTGCCTTTTCGATTGCCAACTCACAAGTTTCCCGTCCAACAATTGACACCCTTCAGTAATGCTCTTTCTATCCAGTTAACAACCCTTAGATCCGCATCAGAAAATGCTTGATAAAGAATCCATTTTTTGATGGATACCATAATCCTAATGTATTTGTACCTTGGAGGTATCAAAATTTATTCTTTACTAACGTAAAATAAGATTCTATTGGGTTTGATTGGTACCTGGCATAATTACATAAAAAAACATAATATCATGTCGACTTGCATTTAAATACAAAAGTGAACCAATCATGCTCCTATATGTCTTGAGATCGACAACAGACTTATCCAATGAAGGACTTAAGTGCATCCCAACAACCATGGGTACTTTGACTTTCATACAATTCATCATCCCAAATATTTCAAGTAGGTTTCGAGTGTAATTTTCTTGATTGATAAATATTCATTCACTGCTTTAGCGAATATTTAAACCTAAAAAGTAATTTATCTTACCCATCATGCTCATTTATAATTTACTCTTCATTAACTCCTCAAATTCCTTAGACAATGAAGGATCAGTCGAGCCAAATATAATATCATTCACATAAACTTGAATGAGCATCAGATGATCCCCTACTTTCTTACAAAATAAAGTAGGATGAACTGATTCTTGTTTAAATTTAGTAATTTTCACAAAATTGGTAAGAGTTGCATACCAAGCATGAGGTGCTTGTTTCAACCCATAAATTGTCTTGTCTAGGATATAATAGTGATCAGGATACTTATCGTTAACGAAACCAGGTAGTTGTTTGACATACACCATTTCTTCAAGAACACCATTGAGGAATGCACACTTTACATTCATTTGGTAAACATAAAAATCCTTGTGAGCGTCATAAGCTAGAAAAATTCATACCACCTTGAGTCTTGTGGTAGGGTAAAAGGTTACCTCATAATCAATACCTTCTTGTTGAGAATAATCATTTACGACTAGTCTAGCTTTGTTTCTAAAAATATTGACTTCTTTGTCAAATATATTCTTAAAAAAAACCATTTTAATCCAACTATCGAAACATCGTCGAGTTTAGAAATTAATCTCCAAACCTTGTTTCATTCAAATTTAGCCAACTCAGATTGCATAGCAACAATCCAATTGAGATGTTCTAATGCAGTCTTGACTGTTTTTGGTTCAAATTCTGAAATAAAAACACTCAACATACCGAATTCTTGATGAACATTTAATACTTCATTTTTGGATCAAAGCTAGGCTCGTGTAAAAACACTTAAATTTGGATAACCAAGAATCTATTCCTTTGGATGATTTCTTGTCCATTTGTCCATCAGTGGATGTGCAGGATCAAATTCCAATTGTACATCTTCTAATATATCTTCCGTATCTGGTACTTCTCCTGAAATTGGAATATTATCAGCAAAACCATGAAAATAATTATCTTTATTATTATCCTCATCATGAGTCGATCCATTTGGTTCCCCCTCAAGCA